GTTGAGTAAGAACACTAAAACTACAAATAAGCAAGAAAATGATGATTAAAATCAATGGAAATTGATGCTAGGGATACGGGGGTGTCCAATATGATTTGAAAGAGGAGAATAATGGTGATTATCATGAAACTTATGCCAAAGAACACAAGATTCTACCTAAACTCATTCTCATGCAATAATCTAGGCAAATCAATGAAAGAGGTCTACACTAATAAGGATCATTCTCATGCATCCTATTAGTTATAATCAAATCAAGAGAATAAAGAAGCACAATCCATAAAAACTCCACTTTAATAACTCATTCTCATGCAATCATTAAAAAAGAGATGATCCTAATCTAGTTCAAATCACTTTCATGCATTTAAACTAGAAAACATCAAATAGAGTGCAACAATAATCCCAAGCTAATAAAAATCATGTCTTTCATCAATATATGGCATAAGTTCAATCTAACTATCATCATTCATCCAATATCAAATCATATCTTCCACCCCCTTCCCCTAGCTAAATGTTTAGCCTAGAGAAGGGAGATTAAACATAATATCAAAACTAGAAATAAACTCAAGAAACTCAAAACAAAACATGATTAAAATCAATGAAATCAATAACAACTAGATGAGCTAATAAGATTGACAAGAATAAGTAACAATAAACAAATAACAATACTAAAGGAAAGGAGAATAGATCACTAAAGAAAGGATTAATGAAAGATGAAAACTTGGATTCTTGCTTGATTGATGGAAGATTAAAACTTGAGCAAAGTTAAATACAATAAAGGATGCTTGATAACAATCTATTTTCTCTCTCTAGATTAGGATAATGTTCTATGGAATTAGTATTAAGTCTCCTCTATTACAAAGAGTCTCGTCTATATATATGTCGCTCCCCAAAAAGAAAGAGACTTGGACAACAAGGCGCAAAGAAATCAGAAACCCAGCCGTGCGCGCCCGCACACGACATATGCGCGCCCGCGCAGTAGGTGTGTGCACCCTCTCAGTATAGTGGGCGGCCGCAACTTTGAGGGTACGGGAAATCAAGCGCGCTCGCGCATCAGGTCGCGCGCCCACACAGAAGCCGCACAACAAGTCGCGCAAACTCTCTTGTTAGGCTCTGTTTCTTCAGCCTGGCTGCGCGGGTTCTAACAGGGTTGCGCGCCCGCACAGCAGCCCGCGCACAACAATTTGCTTGGGTTATTGATATCCTCTTTATTTTGGCACATAAAACCTACAAAACAAAAGCATGGAAATCAAAATAAAAACAAAGCGAGAAGACTAAGAAAAGAGAATATAAAGGAGAAAAGAAAAGAGGAAGCAAAACTAAGTAAAAATGCTTAGAAAAAGGGCCAAACAAGTGCAAATTAGGGGAGAATCCTTAGAGAAAAAGGATAAAAGAGCGGTATAAATGCCACTCATCAAAATCCCCCACACTTGCCTTTTGCTTGTCCTCAAGCAAAGAAAACCGGAACAAAAAGACAAACACAACAAACATAACATGACAAGGTTTTAGCAAAACCAATCAAGCCTCAAGGTAGTGGAATGCTAAATTTGGACTCACATGCAAATAAATGCACCAAAGAATACTTATATTTCTCAATTCAAAGAGGGAAAACACGTTCCAAGATGCTCAAGGTTGAAAAAGACAAACCTAAGCTAAGCGTAGAGAACTAATGATTTCATTCTCCACTAGCTTCAATTCATCCACTAGCTAGCTCCTCAGGGTCCCTTGAGGGAACCAAATTTTTTTTTTATGTGGAATCATAACGTTATCCCGACATCTCAACTATGCATACTCTCTCCATATGGTTGAAATCTATCTCCCTCCACCGTTCTTTGACCACGCCCCTCTAGAATCCAAGGGTCTTAAGTAGGGTTTTAATGTCATGACTAGGGGTTATGGTTGGAAAACAATTTGAAAATTTTGGTGGCAATTCCTAAGTGAAGCGTAAGAGTGGCCATCTCTCAAGAACATCCTAAGAATTGAACCTATTCTCAAACTTACAACCTTTCAAAACAAACCACACCACATTACTTCAATCTTTTTTATTTTTTTTTATTTTTTTTTTGTTTGGTTTTCATGAGTGTCGTCATTTCCATCATCCTCGGTGTCGTAAGAGAAACCGTCTAAAGGGATTCCATGTGGGTCCCAACCACTGGTGTAACCCAGAAGCCAACCATAGTGACCTCGGAAGAGGTCTTGTTGTCATTGAGGCAACGGGTCGAAAGGGGCAGGTAGCTAAAGAGGGAAAGGGTGGGTAGGGTCGACATATGGATAGTTGGGGTCACCCCTAAAATCGCTGCCCCCGGGGGCACGATAATCGTACCCGTTTTTCGTCGGGTAGTCTACCTGGGAAACACCGTGTGAGGAGGGCCCTTGCTAATAGGGCCAATTGGGTTGTGATCCCTGCCACCTAGGGACCGGGCCTTGTTGGGGTGGCCAATATGGGTAATTTTTTGGGAGGGTAACCTCACCCCTATCCACGACCGCACCATAAAGAGCTTGGGTTTGCATAAACATACCCTGTTGGTCTCCATTAGGCTCTGCATGCCAAGTTGCATGCTCATCATTTGTTGTTCAAGGCTACTCATGCCTTGATGTTGTTGTTGTTGCTGTTGCTGATGATGTTGTTATTGTTGCTATTGTTGCTAATGTTGTTGTTGTTGTTGTTGTTGTTGTTGATGTTGTTGGTCGACTTCCATATTCCTTGCGCTACCCAGAGCAGTGGTAGCACACCATTGTCTCGCGGAATTTTCCATACATTCCTTGCGTTCCGCTCCAAGGATGTACGGTTGGGGTAAGGCAAGATACAATACAGTGGTGCTCGCGGTCAACAATCCAGGCATGAAAATTGTTGGCATCTGAAGTTCCTTAGAGGAACCCCGACCTTCTCATTTGTTGTATGTCAATGAATAGATCTTTGTCGGCCCCAATTTGAGTGCACGAGGGGAAGAAGCGATCATAGTTAAGCTTCTTGGCAATCCTTGTAATCATCCACCGAAGGAAATTTCTCCCGTCTTGTGACCCGACTTGATTTCCTCGCAACACACGACGAACCAGTACCCCATATTGAGCCGCCCTTTCAATTCCTCCCTAGTGGCAACCCACAAAGTAAATATCTCTTCATGCGAGAGCTTACTCAAGTCTTGCTTGCTAAACACCGCAAAACCCAGAATGCGGTGTAGAATACGGAGCATAGGGTGGATAATATGGTTGGCCACCGAATACCTAGTGTTGAACTCTTCAAAATAGGTAATCGTTTGTCACCATCGAAATGCATAGTACTCAGGGAATAAGCTCAATGAAGGGGGAAGGAGGTTCTCCTCGGGGTTCAAATCCAACAATACATTAAGATCACTAAGAGTCATAGTGTGCTGGTTGTTGAACAGTTGGATGGAAATTTGGAAGTCGTTCCCGTAAGGCTCCTTTTCAAAAGAGGCCAAGAATTTGAAGGTGGGCTCCTTATATGTTCAGAATTGATTCTTGATGAACTCACTCATCCCTAAGTTGTCAAGGAGCGACCTTATATCATCGTCAATCCCCAAATCTCTCATGGAGCGTTGATCATAGTGTCTGGAGGGATTTAACCTTCGTCCTTGAAGGTCGTTAAGGAACGTAGCATGGACCTTGTTCAAGAATCTCAATCTAGGGGGAACATTTGGTCCTTGAGCTTGAGTTTGTTGAGTACTCGGTTCCTCAACCCTTAACCTGGGCTCCTTTCTGCTCTTCCTTTTGCTCATTATGTTCTCAAGCAATACAAACAACCCAACCAAAAGGAGAACTCACTTCGAACTCAACCAATAATTGGAACACAACAACAACAACTCAAGTCTTAACAATTTGCAAAAGGTTTAGTACTAACAACTAACCACACAAATACAGCTCCCAAAACAACTAGAATTAACAACAAAGCAGTCAATCAAAATACATTATGATAGTAAGCAATTCTCATGAAAGTAGTTGCATTATCATCAATACTAACACCAAATTTCTCAACTTAATTTCATGAAATGGCTTCCAAAACAATAATATTAACAATAATGTCCCAAAATCACTAAATTTCACACTAATAACCAACAAATCCTTAACAAAGAAAATCAAAATCACATGAAATTCACTCAAGCTAATTCATGCTTAATAACTAAAAATTATGCATAAACAAGTGAAATTAAGTAATAAAATGGAAAAATTTAGAGTTATACCACTTAGTAGAAGCTTGAACACCACTAAGAACCTCCAAGAGCACCACCTTCAATTAAGCTTGTAAACCATGAAAATGGAGGATTTTTGGGTATTTTGGAGAGAGAAAGTGGGTGAATTTGTGAGTAGAGTGAAATTTTTTGATGGATTTAAAGGAAAATCAATGGAATTTGTGAGAAATGGGTGAAATTTGAAGGTTTGGGTTTAAGTTTGTGAGGAGAGAGAAGAGAGCATGAAATATGGGTTTCGAAATTATGAGGACGAAATGGGGAAGAAAGGGTTAAAACCCGATTTTCCCAGTTCTGCGCGCCCGCACAGGAATGCTGCGCGCCCACACAGGCATGCTACGCGCCCGCACAGAAGTCGCGCAGACTCTCTGTCTCGAATCACCAATTTTGAATTAAGCTGTGCGGGTTCTGACAATGAGTGCGCGCCCGCACAGAGGTCGCGCACTGGGTCGCGCAAACCTTCTGCCTTGAACTCCAATTTGTGAATAAATCTGTGCGGGTTCTGACAGTGCCTGCGTGCCCGCACTTCACACTGCGCGCCCGCACAAATGTCGCGCACAGGGTCGCGCAGAGTAAAATTCGATTTATTTTTCCTCACATCTTCGAAGTAGAAAATCCTTGTTCCTTCATCATCCAAACACCTATCAACCAAAAGGGGGAAAAATCAAATTCAAATTCAAAAAAGAGAAAGTGAAATCGGAATATTTTAAAAAAATATAGAAAGGAGTTAGAAACTCGGGTTGCTTCCAGAGAAGCGCTTCTTTATGAGGTCACTAGCTTGACCATGAGAAAAATTCTTCAAGTGGGAGGCTTGGGATCCAAAGGATCAAGCATTATACATTCGATGATACCAACTTCTTCCTTGCAAAAGTAATGCTTTAAACGATGACCATTAACCATAAACTTGTTACCATCTGCATCTAACTCAAAGGAGCCATAAGGAGTAGTCTTTGATATCACAAAAGGACCCGACCACTTTGATTTGAGTTTACTTGGAAACAAACAAAGCCTTGAGTTGAAAAGCAAAACCTTGTCTCCAACCTTAAAGTTCTTGTTTCGAATATGTTGGTCATGCCACTTTTTAGTCTTCTCCTTATATAACCTTGAGCTCTCATAAGCATCATCTCTAAGCTCTTCAAGTTCATTGAGCTTAAGCAATCTCTTCTCACCGGCCAACGATAAATCCATATTGAGCTCTTTGATGGCCTACCAAGCCTTGTATTCTAACTCAACCGGCAAGTGACAAGCCTTTCCATAGACCAACCTATAGGGGGTTGTGCCGATTGGAGTCTTGTACGCCGTCCTAAGAGCCCATAGTGTGTCATCAAATTTGAGAGACCAATGTTTCCTTGATTTGTTCAGCATCCTTTCAAGAAGATTTTTGATTTCACGATTCGAGACCTCCACTTGTCCTTGAGTTTGAGGGTGGTAAGGTAATCCAACCTTGTGATGAACGTCATACCTCTTGAGAAGACCTTCAAATTGCTTTTTGGCGAAATGGGAGCCTCCATCACTAATTAGCACCCTCGGAACTCCAAACCTAGGAAAAATAATCTTCTTTAGAAGCTTAAGCACAACCTTGTGATCATTGGTAGGTGAGGGTATGGCTTCAATCCATTTTGTCACATAATCGACCGCTACCAAGATATATAGATTCCCACAAGAAGAAACGAAAGGCCCCATAAAATCCACCCCCCAAACATCGAAGAGTTCAACTTCTAAAACACTTTGTTGGGGCATTTCGTCCCTCTTGGTAATGCCTCCGCTCCTTTGACATCTATCACATTGCGAAACAAATTGGTGGGTGTCTCTATGCATTGTCGGCCACCACAATAAAGATTGAGAGATTTTTGCCACTGTTTTGTCAACACCACCATGTCCTCCACATGGTAGTGAGTGGCAATGCTCAAGAACTCCTTGAATTTCATGATCTGGAATACACTTCCAATAAAGGCCATCTCCACATTTCTTGAATAGATATGGGTCATTCCAAAAGTACCTTCTTACTTCCTTGAAAAACTTCTTCTTTTGTTGAGAAGAATACTCCGGGGGAACGACTCCACACACAAGATAGTTGGCTATATCCGCGTACCAAGGGGTAGAAGTTGACACCAAAGCCATGAGAGCCTCGAATCCTATCTCATCATTAATCGGTACATCCTCCTTGTTCTCAAAAGGTAGCCTAGACAAATGATACGCTATATAGTTCTCCGCTCCCTTTTTGACCCTCATTTCCATGTGAAAGTCTTGGAGAGAGAGAACCCAACGGATCAAGCGAGGCTTTGCTTCTTTATTGGTCATGAGATATCGCACCGCGATGTGATCCGTGTACACAATAACTTTTGAGCATATAAGTTAGGACCGAAACTTATCGAATGCAAATACTACTGCTAACATCTCTTTCTCTGTTGTTGTGTAATTCTTTTGAGCCTCATCTAGAGTCCTACTTGCATAGTAGATGACACATGATTTTCATTGTTTATTTTGACCAAGAACGGAACCTACTGCAAAGTCACTAGCATCGCACATTAGCTCAAAAGGCAAGCTCCAATCCGGAGCTTGCACAACGGGAGAAGAAATGAGAGCTTCCTTGAGCTTACGAAACGCCTCAAGGCAAGCCTCATTGCAGCTAAAAACAACCTCTTTTTTGAGTAATTTGGTCAAATGTTTGGCGATTGAAGAAAAATCTTTGATAAACCTCCGGTAAAAACCAGCATGCCCAAGAAAAGCCCGTACCCCCATGATGGAAGTAGGAGGGGGCAACTTTTCAATCACCAAAACCTTGGACGGATCAACCTCAATGCCATTTTTTGAAACCTTATGACCGAGGACAATGCCCTCCTTGACCATAAAATGGCACTTTTCCCAATTTAAAACCAAACTCGTCTCTTGACACCTTTTCAAAACTTTTTCAAGGTTAAAAAGACAAGTGTCAAAAGATGAGCCACCAACACTATAATCATCCATGAAAACTTCAATCTCTTTTTCAAGCATCTCAGAGAAAATGGAAGTCATGCATCTTTGAAAAGTAAAGGGAGCATTGCATAATTCGAATGGCATTCTTCGGTATGCAAATGTCCCATATGGACATGTGAAAGTAGTTTTCTCTTGATCACTTGGATGGATAGGGATTTGGAAAAATCCGGAATACCCATCCAAGAAACAAAAGAAAGCATGGTTAGAAAGCCTTTCAAACATTTGGTCCATGAAAGGGAGAGGACAATGATCTTTCTTGGTGTTTTTGTTCAATCTCCTATAATCAACGCACATTCTCCGCCCGGTCACTGTCCGGGTGGAGATTTCCTCTCCCTTTTCATCCTTGATTATGGTCATTCCACCCTTCTTTGGAACTACATGAACCGGGATAACCCATTTGCTATCGGAAATAGCATAGATGATGCCCGCCTCACGTAGTTTCAAAATTTCTTTCTTTACAACTCTTGAAGGTTGGGGTTCAACATTCTTTGAGGTTCAGTGGGGGATGGAATGATCATCTTCAAGATGAATACGATGCATGCATAAAGAAGGGATAATACCTTTGATATCATCAATGCTATACCCTAGCACATCCCTATATTTTCGTAAAACATCAACAAGTTTTTCCAAATTAAGACCATCTAGGGTAGCATTGACATAATAGGGTATTTTCCCTCCTTATCAAGAAAAGCATATTTCAAAGAAGGGGGAAGGGGCTTGAGTTCTACCTTGGGAGGAGGCTTAGAACTCTCCTCTAATTTCTCCTCCTTGGACTCAAGCTCGATCTCAACTTGTTGTTCAACTTCCTCCTTTGAGGATTCCTCCATTGCCATGACAAATTCTTTAGCCTCTTGAGAGTGGAACTCTTCTTTGCATGTAAGGGCTTCTATCATTGGATCTTGAGGCCTCATCACGACCCTCCCCAAGCGATCTAGCTCCTCATTCACGACATCAACTCTATAGAATTTTTCAACCATGGGGGTCTTCAGCAACTTAGAAAACTCAAAGACAATCTTTTCATCGGCCACCTCACATGTGATGGTGTTGTTCTTGCAATTAATGACAGCCCCCAAAGTTTTAAGAGCTTCAAGTCCCAAAATAAAAGGAGTGTTAACATCTTCCTCCATATCCATCACTACAAAGTCACAAGGCACGTAGATGTGTCCCACTTGAATTGGAACATCCTCAAGCTCTCCACAAGGTAATTTCACCGACCGATCGGCCAATTGAATTGTCTTCCTTGTAGGGATCATCTCTATATTGAGTTTTTGAACAATGGATAGAGGGATTAAACTAACACTTGCTTCAAGATCGGCTAAGGCGCCCCTAGCTTCCATGTTCCCAACTTTCCCCGACAAAGTGAAACTTCCCGGGTCTTTTTCCTTCTTGGGCATCTTATGTTGGACAAGAGCACTCACTTGATGTGGAAGGGTGATAAGCTCATCATTGAGCTTCCTCTTGTTGGTGATAATATCTTTGAGGAACTTGGAGTAAGATGGCATTTGTGTCACAACTTCAAGAAAAGGGAGGTTGATATGCAAATTGTTCATGACACTAAGAAATTTTGTAAACTTGTCATTCAACTTCCTCTCTGCAAGCCGACCAGGAAAAGGAACCGGTCCATTAAGATTCCTAGCCTCACTAGGAATTGAAGTTGTCTTCTCATTGTTAAGCTTCTTCTTCTCCGAACCTCCTTCTATCTCATCACCCTTTTCTTTCTCACCTCCCATGTTTTCATTCACACTCTCCTCTCCTCCCTTATTTTCCTCACTATCCCCTTCATTTGACCCTTCATAGGAAGTTCCCGACCTCAATGTGATCGCCTTTCATGTATCGGGTTTTGGATTGTGAGATGGGTTAGGTTGTGGTTGTCCGGGTAGAGTGGATGGTGAATTGAAAGGAGTTCTCTCGGCCAATTGAGCTAGTTGTGAATCAACCATCTTGTTGTGAGCTTTTATCTCTTGCATTTGTTTCCCAAAAGATTGCATTTGCGCATGCATGTCTTGGAGGAGTTGAGTTTGAGTTAGCTCCGATTGAGGTGCTTGTTCTTGATGATTTCTTTGAGGTGCTTGGGTTTGATTGTTGTATTGGTTGTTCCTTGGATAGCTTCCTCTTGGGTTTTGGTGTTGAGATGGAGGTGGATTTTGGAATTGAGGGTTGGAGTTATAGGAAGGTTCAGCTGGTTGGTTCCATTGTTGAGGTTGAGGTACAAACCTGGGTGGTGGTTGTCTCTAAGCTACTCCGCCGCCGCTTCCTCTAAATCCCTCTTGCCTTGTGTTGTATGCCGCTACATATTTGGGGCTTAAACCTCCACAATAGGATGTACCATGGTTCGTTCCTCCATAATTTTGACAAAAGAAAGAGTTAACTTGAGAAGAGCTTGCTCCACCACTTGAACTTGCATTCACATTCGTGTTCAACTTGGAAAGCCCTTTTGTTAGTTGATCAATTTGATGTTGTAATTGATCAACTTTCTCCAATTCGTAAATATCACCTCTCTTTGGAGCGTTTCTTCTTCGACCCCCCCCCCCCAAGAGTAATTCTTTGCTACCTCTTTTATTGTGGCTTCAACTTGATTTTGAGGGATCTTGATTAATTGACCACCCACCCCCGCATCCAAATTGGCTCTTGACATGCGCTATAATCCGTCGTAGAAAAACCGCATGAGCAACCCTTGATTGTACTCATGGTGGGGACATGCTTGTACCAACTCCTTGAATCTCTCCCATGCTTCACCAAGACTTTCATCGGCATCTTGCTCAAATGATGCAATTTTCCTTCTCATTTCGGCGGTCTTCTCCTCCGAGATAAAGCGCTTCAAGAACGCCTTTACCACCTCCCTCCATGTTGTGAGAGTGTTAGGCTTTACTTTTTTTAGCCATTTCTTTTCTCGTCTGGTGAGAGATTACCGGAAAAAGTGCATACGAATGTAGTCTTGAATCACTTCATTGGTTTGCATCATTGCGCACAATTCAAGGAATCAGTCCAAATGTTCAATAAGGTCCTCACTTGCACTTCCGGAAAATTGCTCCGATTGGACCATTCGAGTATATTGTGGATGGATTGAGAAGTTGGTTTTCGTGACGGGCAGCAAAATCCCTCTCGTGAGCTCATAATCCTCCGGATTTCCAAACTTACGAAACAAAACATCATTCTCTTGTCCCGCCATTGATCCGCGTGGTGAACTTGAAGAGTAAGTATCACTCTCACTA